AGCACACCTCGTAACCTTTATCATGGCCTCAGCTGAGTCCTGTTTTCAGTCATGTTCACACACTGATTACTCTTCTGTTCAGGCGGGAATCTGCCAGCTGACACAACAGATTGCATGAACCACATCACAGACATAGAGTCAAATAATGACTGAGAAATTCAATCAGCGGGAAGTTTTCATCACACCATTTATGGTACAGAAATAGGAGATGTGTGTCATTTTCATTATGCACTCGCTTTATAGCAGGTTTTGCTTATTGTGATCACAAGCTGCTCTGAGATCAGGAGAAAACATGTTAGTCTACATAATGTATTTGCTCCATGCAGACTAAGACTTTAGCTGCTGGATTAAACAGGACTCAGATCTAATGGTTACATTTTCATGAATACACTGAAAACACAAACGTTTAAGAAGCGTTTGTAGTCATTTGAAACCAAACTCTCCACTGTTTTCTTCAAATCAGATCCCCTTCTGTAGGACGCCTGATGCAATGGCTAGCAACTGCTGGCTTAGCATTAGCTTCTGCTGCAGATGGTAGCTGAAAAATGAATGCTGCTTATTCATGCAGAGTAGAAATAGTTAGATTTTTGGTTCAAACATTCATTACAAGGCAGAAGACACTGCTTTGTTCAAGTTGAACACACTTTGAAAGCAGTGCAGTCCAAATGATCCTGACCACAACTAATCACAGCATCAGACTGAGCGTTTGAATGTATCAGCTGCTACATAACATGAAGTAAAAATGTATGGGATGTAAATTAATCTGTATAGTTTCTGCTCTCCTTCCTTCTGTGTGTGTCTGATAATAGAGGAGGAGAGGGATGGTTCAATAATGGAGGGAGTGGCAGCTAGATGGACAGTCCATTTGTTAAAGTGGAGTGGATTTAATCCAGTTGGACCTGTTTACAGCTAATATTGGACAGGGAACGTTAGCGTTAGCCTTCAGCTGCTGCCGTTATCAGTACAATGCCATGGGCCAGTTAGCCTGCTTCCTCCTTGTTTTCTCTCTCTCTCTCTCTCTCTCTCTCGCTGTCGAACATATGCCTCCGAGCTAAGCATAGCACTTGTCTGGTGATGTGGAAGAGAAACAGAGAAAACAAGGATGGGCACCGCAAGACTGGAAAGCAGACCAACTCAAACCGAATCAGAGTGGACTGGTTTCTTGATTTCAGCCACACCCTCTTACTGGAACCATGTGCTGGGTCATGGGGACTGGGCCTGCAAGTCTGAGTTGGTTGACTGGATGATGATGAGGATACAGTGCTGGAGGAGCCATCAGTAAAGTGGCTGCCACAGTGAAATGTTGTTTTACCCAAAACAAACTAGATTTGGTGATTTCATCGGTACTTTGGAGAACAGAGAATTAAAAGACGAGCAGTTGGACAGAGTCCAAGTCAGTTCAAGATGCGAAAACAAGCCACAATGCAAGGCTTTCAAGCCTTAATGCTGACACAATCACACAGTGTTTATTTATTTTTCTCAGAACCACTGATTGTGGGCTAAGGCCTGGGGATGAGGGGTCTGTGTCAGGGGCCCAAAACCAGACCCTCTAGTGAAAGTGACTCTCTTTAATATTTCTGTACAGAAAGCCAGACAGCCAAGTTTCCTGATCACATTGTTTGAATGATCACTACTCATCAATTAACATGAGCCATTGGCCTGTATTGATTTGGATTTTACTAAGTCAAGAGTTACAATTAGATGGTTCTCTTGCTAAAGCCAAAAAGGAATCGACTCCATTTTACTGCTCTGTTTACTAGTCAGAGCTAAACTCCACCTCAGGATGTCGTCACATTTGTTCAAACCTTTGGATGTTGAATTTGTTTTGATTTTGTTGGAATTGTGATTTGAACAAACCAAATCAGTTTAAATTGATTTGCTTTAAAATCTGGGTGGGTTTTGTGAAACTCTGTAAAAATGAATAACAGATTTTATTGTATAACATCAAACTGTGACAGCAGTTCTGCTTATCAAACCAGGCCCCTGATACATCACACGCAAGCTGCATAGACGTTAACACAGTTGCACATTTATTGCACATGACAGCTGGTTATAAATGTGAAAAAAGAAGCTAAAGATTTGAACTGATCGACTGTGTCATGCCTCCTCTCTGACAGGCCCAGCTGCATCATCCCTCACCATGACTAAAGAGGAGAACCTGGAGGTGCAGGAGAAGGAGAGGCACAACAATGAGGAGCAGGAGGAGGGAAAGGCCCAGAGAGAGGATGAGGAGGCACTGACGGAGGAAGAGGAAGAAGAAGAAGATGAGGAGGAAGAGGGGGAGTATGAGCTAGAGGAGGAGAGAGCAGAGGTGGAAGATGAGGAGGGGGACGACGACGAACTGGAGGAGGAGCGGGAGGAGAGAGAGGAGGAAGAGGAGGGTCCACTGGCCGGCCCAGAGTGTGAAGCTGAGCTGGAGCCGGAGCCGGAGCCTGAGCCTGAGCCGGTGTCTGTGTCTGAGTACCAGAGTCCGGTTCACGAGCCACGTCGCCGACCTATGGTGCACCCCTCCGCCCAGGCACCGCTTCCCAAAGACTACGGTGCGTCATACCACCTTAAATGCTACACCACCATACTACATGCTGTCATACAACTTTAAATATATATTTCTGTACCACCTTATATACACACTGTCATTCCCTTCCTGCCAGGCACCGCTTCCCAAAGACCACAGTATGCCATACCACCTTAAATACACTCTACTGCACCACCTTTACTACTACACACTGTCACACCAGCTCTTTTGAACTCTTATGATGACAAAAGATTATAGTTTGTCAAACCATATTAAATACACACCCTTCACCAACGAGTACAGTGGACCACACTGTACCACTTCAGACACACACTGCTGCGCTTTCCTCATTTCAAAGCCCAGTTCTGATTCTGTTTGTGGTGTTTGTCCTACAGCAGACCTTAAGCATGTTACTGGTGGAGTCATCAACTCACATGCAAGTGACAGCATGTCTTCTTTAAAGTCTGTTAACTAATTTGGACTTATTGCTCTTGCTCAGTAGTGTCCAGTGGGATCTGATGGGATGTTTACCCTATGACATAAATTCAGACTGGGGGCGGCTGTGGCTCAGGAGGTAGAGCGGGTCTTTTCCTAACCGGAGGATTAGCGGTTCGATTCCCAGCTTGTCCAGTCAACATGTCGAGGTGTCCTTCAGCAAGACACTGAACCCCCAGTTGCTCCCGGTGATGTCACCGGTGTGTGAATGGGTGAATGGCCAAATAATGTGAAAGCGCTTTGAGTGTGTTGTAAAAAAGCCATTATACAAGTATAAGACCATTTACCATGTAGAGTCACACCACACCAACACAGTGCATACTGTCTGGCTTTCTGTCTGTATGGACGACAGGCTCATTGGTATTCATCAGACAAACTCAGAGCCGACCAGCTCCATTATACACTCTGTATGTGTGTGTGTTTTCTGGCCGTCTCCATTGTCCAGCTGTATAGAGCTGTGGTGCTCAGATGGGTTTCTGTCCTTTCTACATCTGAAAGTATGAGCTAAGTTTTTCATACTAATATTTATTACATTCCTGTTGATCATTGTCCAGGTCATATTATTCGTTCTTTTTCCTTCTTTTCAGGAAGACATCGGTTTCATTACAGTGGCCATTATTCATTTCATAGATGGTTTTGTCCAAAGTGACATACAAGTTTTCTTCTAATTATGACAGACTGGTACGCTGCAGAACTTGGCTGATAATCAAGAGGTTTTAAAGAATTCTTTAGTATCAAATGAATTCAGCGATGGTTATCAGTATACAGCAAACAGGCGGTTAATAAATAATTTGGCAGAGTTAGTGTTCCAAAATGTAAACCAATACACAACAGGCTAAAAATGGGCCCCAAGCTGCACTTTGCTGTGCACAGAAAGGCAGTTGACATCTATGAAAACTGAACGGGTGGAGCTGATCGCAGTTACTCAGTGAAATGAAAGCTGCCTCGGAGCTCAGACTGCAGTGCTGGCAGGACAAGAAACTGCCGAGCTCACAGGTTACTTCTGATCTGATGATGGTGACAGAAATGTCTTGGCATCTTTTTGCCGTCTGCTCTGCCCTCATCCACTCAGCTTCCCTCATATTTCCTGGTTCTTTTTCTTTCCCTTTGCTTTCTTTTCTGTTTCTCTGTAGGTATTCATAGTCTTTCTCTCTTTCTCACATTATCATTATCCGTCTGTCTCCAGCGTTCACCTTCTTCGACCCCAACGACCCGGCCTGTTTGGAGATCCTCATGGATCCTCGGACAACCATCCCAGAGCTGTTCGCCATCGTGCGTCAGTGGGTTCCCCAGGTGCAGCACAAGATCGACACCATTGGTAACGAGGTGAGAATGTGCTGAAACACCCTGTCTCTGCTTCGGTTTGGTCATCAGCAGCTGTTCATGTGGTATTTTAACTGAGAATGATGTCTTAAACCTGTGCTGCAATGGGCTCAGCGCTAAAACAGTTCAGTTAAATCATTTGTATCCTTTATACATTAAAACAAACATTTGTAGATACCAGCTTCTGCATCGTTATAAACTGAGCCCTGCTTTATGTAGGATGTAAAACATGACTCAGCCCCCATGTCTGCATCACCTGCTCTAGTTGTTCTGGCAGGAAGCCTGAATCCTGACTCGACCGTCATTGTCCCATCGACCCAGATTCAACCTGGACTCACACAGACACGCAATGAGCAGTGACGTCCCACAGAGCAGTGCAGAGCTTGTGTTAGAGCTGTAGGAGAAAAGCCTGAATACTGAGTGTGAGGCGTGATCCAAATTTAAGGAAAGCACAGAGATTTGAACTACAACCACCTTCTAATCCCAGACCTCACCCTACCCTTCACCAAAAACAACATGTCAAATTTAAACTGTAATGTTTTACCTGGTGGAGGGTGGAGAGAGAGCAGAGAGTGAGGTGCAGAGAGAGGGAGATACTAGATGGAAAGAGAGAAAGAGAATCACAGAAGCTTTATACAGGTTCATATCCTTATGTTCTTTTGTAAATGTCCTGTATCGAGTGTTGTGTCTTCCATCTTCTATCCTGTTAATGTTGCATGGTTTGTGTTGCAATTTAAAAAAAGAAAGTCCTTGAAGCTTTACCATGACTCTGCCACTGAGCAGTTACTGAACGGTTTGGGTTCAGATAACCTCTTACTAAAGTAACAACACTGACTGTTGCTTTGAAATCTCGTGCGTTTGCTCAGATCCTGAAGCGTGGCTGCCATGTGAACGACCGCGATGGTTTGACCGACATGACGCTGCTTCACTACAGCTGTAAGGCCGGAGCCCATGGTGTTGGTAAGATACTTATTTAACATGGTCTATTTGGTCAGTCTGGCACAACCCTGTTCAGCTGCACTGCAGTAATCAGTTGGAGGACAGGCCTAGTCCTAGTTTACTGTATATTTGTTAATTTGATCAGAAAGCTCACAATGAATTGATCTTCCTATCAAGTATTCATGTGTGTTATAGTGAAGTTAATTGGATTCATAGAGCTCAGAATCACAGATTTGCTTCAGAGGGATTTACAGTCTGTGAAATGCAGCATACTCTATCCTCAGACCCTCAGTTCAGAGGAAAAACCTCTGGAGAAACCTCAGCGAGAGGAACAGGAGGGAGCCCTCTCTGAGGTCTGGAACTAATCTAGTGAGTCCAGTCAAACAGGAGACATCTTAGAGAAGGTCTTGTGAAATGACCTTTCCATAAATAAAATGCAGCATCAGTTTTTCACAATGTTCCAAGTCACTGTCCAGGGCGTCTTGGAGTTTCTCTGGTGAGGAGGTCGACTTCAGTGTCGGTGGTGGATTCTGCTCTGCTGCTGTAATGATGGAGCTCCTCTTTGTTTTGTTGTCATTGTGCACAGGTGACCCGGAGGCAGCGCTACGTCTCACCAGTCAGCTGATCTCTCTGGGTGCTGACGTGAGTCTGAGGAGCCGCTGGACCAACATGAACGCTCTGCACTATGCCGCTTACTTCGACGTCCCAGAACTGATCCGAGTCCTGCTCAAAGCTGCCAAACCCAGAGGTACAAACACACGAACGAAGCAGTGCAGGACCAAGACTGACAGATTTCCTGTCACTTGAAATTTTATAGTTGGTCCTTCAGACTGTTTTTCTTCTGTGTTCTCCACAGTGTTGAACTCCACATGCAGTGACTTCCACTATGGTACAGCTCTGCACATCGCCGCCTCCAACCTGTGTCTGGGTGCAGTCAAATGTCTGCTGGAGCACGGAGCCAACCCCACTGTCCGGGTACAGATATCTTACCTGTCTTTTAGAGTTTGTGTACAGTTTGATAGTCACGGTTTTGTTTCACCTCTGTCCTGAGTGTGACATTGTGTTCATGTTGGCTTTGTGTTTGGAGAGGAGATTGCTCCAACCCATCACTTACGACTTGACGTATCCGTCCCGCTGAACTCATTTTCAGTCTTCCCAACAGCTCTGGTAATATTTAGAAGGTGCATTTAATAACAAACAAACATTAAAATTATAATCCTGCCTACACAGTACTGAGCTCCACAGGTTTTCCACCGAGGGACACAGACGTCTTTGAGCGCATCAAACCTATCAAATGGAAGTGTTCTACATGTCTTATGGAGTGAAGTCATGACCGTGTTGAGTCTGTAGCTGTGTGCTGCTGCATCTTGACTGTCAGATTGATTACATGATCCAACTAAAGAAAAATGCATTTCTCAAGTTCTTTCCGTTCTTCAACCTGCCTCCTCTCTGCAGAACGATAAGGGCCAGGTTCCAGCCGAGGTGGTTCCTGACCCGATGGACATGAGCCTGGACAAGGCCGAGGCCGCCATGGTGGCCAAAGAGCTGAAGCAGCTGCTGCTGGACGCTGTCCCTCTGAGCTGTAACCTTCCCAGGGCCACGCTGCCCAACTACGACAACATCCCGGGAAACCTGATGCTGTCCTCACTGGGGCTGAAGCTGGGAGACCGTGTGGTGCTGGAGGACATGAAGGTCAGAGGCTCTCTGAGGATCACTCTCTGCAAATTGAGGCCAATGCCAACATTTCTCATACAGACAAAGAGAAGGGTCGTGATGCCCAATGTGGTACATTAGAGAGAACGTTCAAACCAGCTACAAGAAGCAACATCAGATTCCAGTTCACTGGTAAAAGGTTGAAGGAGCAGATTGTTTTGATAAGGCTCAGTTTAAATACATGTAAAAATAATAAACCAGCTCCCAGTTTTGTCTCCATCCAGGTCTCTAGGAGAAAGAAAAGCAACATATTATCTGTTGCAACTGGCAACTGAGCAACTTACAGTACATTCTGACATTAAGAAAGACTGAATATAAAAGACAGCTCTCTGAGCAGGTTTGCATTTCATAAACTATAGATTATTGACGCATTACCTCAAAAACCAGCTGTGAACGTGGCAGTAGCGAGCAGTGAGAGCCACATCACGGCCAGTCCATCTTGTTTACGTCCTCCACTGGCCGGGTTGGATCGCTGGGCCGGGTGCTCCTTCAGTCACATACGTCCTGGTTGCGACTAAGTAGGAAGATGACCAGTTAGCAACCAGACACTCTGGTCTGTAAACATGTAAAATAGACTCACTGGTGATCATAAAGTTACAGGAACAAAAGGCTTGTGTTTGAAAATTTAACATCAGTTTTCTTCTGTGGTTTGAGCCATGGAAACCAACTGAAGGTCATTACCAGAAACATTAAAAGCTGACAGTAACTTTCACATGAAACTCAACATATAGAGCTTGCTACTGATGCACGTGCTTTGCCACACACACACACACACACACACACATGCCACATGCACTAAACAGCATGGCTTGCTGTTAAATCAGTCAGTGGTAGCTATGGCTGGTTAGGGATCAGAGTTTTAGGGAATGCATGGTCTCAGGACAGATTAAAGTTTGGGCTTGTTTTGTGTGATGGCTGCCAGCTTGTCCTTCACACTGTGCTGTATGAGCTCTGAACAGTGTGTTCTCACTGTGTAGCTCCAGAGAGACCAGAGCAGAGACGACAGCCCGGCTGCAGACCTCAGACAGGTTGGTTTGACCGGGCTCTGGCTGGACCGTAGAATAGCTGACTCGACTCACCACACTGACAACATGTTCTCTTCCTGTCACATGACAATTCAAATCTTTTCATCTGTGACACTGATGTATGCACTGAGTTCCAGTTCCTTCTTTTCACCTTTATACAATCCAGCAGCAGACCACCAGACTATCTGCCTCCATGCAGACTAACCAGCTAACAGATCTCTGCTGTCATGTTGCAGTCATGAGACAATTCTTCCTCTAACTTCACCACTTTGTCTCTCTGTCTCTCTCTCTCAGAACGGCACTCTGAGGTTTTGTGGTACTACAGAGTTTGCCAGCGGTCAGTGGGTTGGCGTGGAGCTGGACGAGCCTGAGGGAAAGAACGATGGCAGCGTGGGTGGTGTTCGCTACTTCATCTGCCCTCCTAAGCTAGGTAACTGCTGCTGTGACAGCACCTCGGAGCAAATCATTAGGCAGCTGTTTGCTAACAAGTGCTTCTGTAGATGACAGTACTGTGTGTCAGAAGCTGTGTTTGTAATAATGCATTTTATTTACACCGTGCTTCTAAAGACAGAAATGCTTCAGGTGTTGGGGTCTTTCTGCGCTCTCGTGGTCCGAGGTGTTTCTGCAGCCCATGCTCACAAGACATTCTGAGGTTTGTCTCTGTTTGTATTTTTCTACCTTACAGGGATTTTTGCCCCCGTGTCAAAGATTTCCAAGGCCGTGGATCAGACACCTTCGTCTGTCACATCCACTCCCCAAACCCCCCGCATGGACTTGGCCTCCCGCCTTGCTGGAAAGACCAAGAAGGAGAAAGAGAAGAAGGAGAAAGAGAAGAAGGAGAAAGAGAGAGAGAAAGGTGACATAGCTCATGTTATAGGATAAAGTCTGTGCTGTTGGAGCATCAGCAGATAGGAACAGTGTGTCTGTGTCAGTGCTAAAGACACATAAGTGTGTTTGATGTGCACAGCCCACAAGAAGAAGTCGTCAGTGGCAGGTCTGGATCCGGAGGGAATGAACGTGGAGGTTGGAGATCAGGTTCTGGTGGCTGGGCAGAAACACGGAATCGTCCGCTACTATGGCAAGACGGACTTCGCTCCAGGTCAGTGTGCTGGTCTGCAGTGGATTCTCTGTACTGTAGTCACATGGTAGCTTGAAAGGCTTGTTAACATGCTGCACTGTGTATTTCAGCTACACAAAATGATGGTTTTCCCATATGTGACAAATGCCAGTTCTCAAAAGTTGTAGATGCAGATCCTTAAATAATGTCCTTCCTCATCTGGATCAGTGCTGGACCTGTTGTGTCCCGGTCTGATGTAGCCCCAGCTTGTGACTCTCATGTACTACATGCACTCGAGTCACTGAGATCATCTTTCATGAACGTGCGAAATCTAACTTGCTGACCATTTAAACCCCGTGCCGTCATTTCATAACACTCCCCAGAATGTGAAGGTATTTCATGAGTCCTCACAGACTCTTCTAATGATGTGGAGTCAAAAATAATCTGGTCAGCTTTTCAGGTGAAAGAATTGCTTTTCAAAAAAAAGTAAAGATGGTGACAGAAAACGACACTGTCTGTCTCGCAGAGTGACATTGTCATTTCCTGTCGCCATCTTCGTTTATATGAGATGAATAGAGATAATTGAGAAACTGATGACTTTTTGTTTTCCAGATTTCTAAGTGTCCTGGAGTATAGTCATTGTAAATGTGTGCAAGTTAGCATCTTCAGCTCAAGCCAGAAGCTGTGTCCTCAAATCATCCATCACGACAGCCTTTATTTAAACGGTGTGAATCAAAGAACGGCAGCGTCTCCCTGTGTTGTCACCCTACAGCGATGATTAGCAACTTTAAAAAGCCGGGCTGAGACAGAGCGGGTGTGACGTGAGCTGTGTGTCCCTGTAGGTTACTGGTTTGGGATCGAGTTGGATCAGCCGACAGGGAAACATGACGGCTCTGTGTTTGGAGTCCGTTACTTCAGCTGCCTGCCCAAATATGGAGTGTTTGCTCCACCTTCCCGTGTCCAGAGGTGAGGTTGTGCTCAAAACACTACGTAACCTGGAATGTTTCTGTTTAATGTACAGCTGAGCATTAGTGTGTCTTATCAAATGATTTGCCAGAACAAGTTAAGAGTTTTGGTGCATGAGCCATACAGTACTTTGATGATTGAAGAGTATGATGATAATAACTACAGCCTATATATGATATACAGTAAGAACCTTCAAATTGCCAGGCCTTTATCAGTGCCATGATGTGGTGTGCTTCACGATAAACCGACATTTAGTTTTCTGTCCCTCCTGAAATCCCTTCATTCTGTTCATTCCAGCAGTGTTATAACAATAATAATAAATATTGAACTGAGTGTTTTGGTGGTTGTTTTGTCAGAATCGGAGGCCCTAAAGACGGCTCCCAGAATGACAGCTCTATGGTGAAGAAGGTCCATCAGGTCACCAGTAAGCATCTCTGACCATACAGTAGTCTCCAACTAAATGCTTTGTTTGTCTGTTTATTTATCAGGGACACTTTGCATTAACCAACACTGGCATCATTAACCTTAATGTGAATGTGCCGGGTTTGCTTGAGAGCATGTTTGAACTCGTAGCCCTGAAGCAACACAGTCCTGAACATGAAAAACAACAATACAAAACAAATGTAGTGTCTTAAGGTGACAGCTTTTAAGAAGCTGCCAGATTCTTGCAGCACTTTTATTAAGTCATTTTGTTTATTGTCCCTCAGTCGTTTTACTCATGAGCTTCACTGAAGTATCACAGCGATACAGTGACACTACAACATGGACTGTGTTGTAAGTCGGTGTCTAATAATGTCACTGTGTCTCTGCAGTGATAGTAGAGATGACACCTGAAGGCAGCTCACGCTTCTTTTTATTCACCCACAAAATTAGTCACTGACACCGTTTGTTTGTTTGCATCCTGCAGTGTCGCAGCCCAAGCGCAACTTCAACACGATGCGGTCTCCTAAAGACCTGACCTCGGAGAGCTCCATATCCAGGTAAGGGCACACAGAGCCAGCAGGTCAGCTGTCAGACCGTTGTTCAGGGTAATGTAGAGTAACTCCAGGGTGACATGAATGCAGTGTTTCCCTGTTTACAAGTTCACAAAACCATCGTAACCAGTAAATGTGACATCCTCCATGTGAAACATGGTGTAAACGGAGCCTGCTCTGTCTGATGACGTCACCCTACTTTTCCCTCCTCCTCCCGCTCTGCTTTCTTCTCCTCCTCTTCCCTTTGTTCTTTTCTGCCCTCACGCATTTTCCTCATTTTCACCCTGCCTCCCTCCTCTTCCTCCCCTGTTGTTGTTCTCCTCCAGGTTGCTGTTCTGCTGTTGGTTTCCGTGGATGCTTCGTGCTGAGATGCAGTCCTAACTACACCCTCCTCTGCTCCTCCACCAGATTGAGCTGTCGCTCTTCTTTCTCTCCATTTCTTACTTTCACAACCCCCTGAGTCTCCTCAAACTATCGCTGTTGTCGGTCAAACTCCTCATAGTGAAACCCTGTCTCTCTTCTCTTACTCTCAGCCCAAATCCTTCTGATTTAGTCATTCTATAGCAAAATCTATAGTGCCTTGTATTTGATCAAAACGTTCAGTATTCCTTTAACGAAACTGAATCTCCAGCTGTCCCCTAAAATATTCTCTGTCACATATCGTTACATTTCCACCAGTTCTTAGCTCATTGTTCCAGCTTGGTGTTTATTCATTATGTATCTTTTTTGGAGCAGAACATCAGTTAGCGAGTTTCTTTAAGCGCAACAAAAACCACATAAACTTAGTTTTTAATGCCAAATTTTTTGTTTATGCTGCTGCTAGTTTTGGGTCTTGGGAGATTTTGAATTCAGTGCCAGACAAATTTATCAGAAGCTTGTGTGTAAGTCCAACTCGGCAAGGAAATGATCTTGAAGTTCAGTTCACAAATTTCTGTGTAATCAAGCAAAAAACATACTGGCCTAAGTACCTGAACACAAGCGATGACAACATACCCTCAGGGTTTCTTGTTGCTTAAAACTCAGTAAGAGTATGAGTTGTTTGTTTGGACCCAGATCTGGCTGCTACTTCCTCACCACTTGTTTGACACCAAGACATTTTATTTAACAGTCACCTTGTTGTGTAGACTCATAGTTCTCTATTAAATTGAGACTCTCTCCACCCAGTTCACGACTGATCCCATGGACGCAGTTAACACTACAGTAGCCGTGTGTCCATGTACTAATTGGCAAAATGTAGCTAAAAAAAACCTTTTATTCATCGTCATATGCGCTGGATAGTTTGTCCACTCAGTCACCACTTCAGATCCAATCTCAATCCTAGAAATGTTTCTAACTCTAAACTGCGTGTGAGGAGCTTTAATCACCTGCATGCACTGATGTCCAAACAGGGTTAACTATAGCGTCATTTATCGTGGTGTGCTGCGGTCCGTTTTAGCTCTCAGACATATGTAACAGGGTTCATTTCACTGTTGGGATCACAGATATCAAAATGGGCAGAAGAATAGTGTAGCTGACGTTGTGCTAGTCATCCTTTCACAACAAAACTGAAGTTATTTTTTCCTTCATTACTTTGAAAAAACGTTTTTTAATAGATCAGATATCGTAGTTAGACATTATAGCAACTAAACACTGTAGAGTAAGCATTATTATAAATCAGAATAATGCCAAATACAAACATAATCTATCTAGTTAAGTTAAATTATTGTATGTCATAGAAATCTAATAAATCACTTCGGTTGTAATCTGTTGTCAACCAAAACTGCTAACAGACCCAAAATCATGACTTCTCTTGATGCAGCTTAAAAAGTGTTTTCAGCCCCGCTACATGTGATAATGTTTTTGTGTTGGTGCTGTCACACTTAAATCTGAAAATAAGATTAATTCAAAGTTAATGTCAGCTTTAAAACCAGTGGGAGTTAATGATAATCAGCTGTACAGTTCAGTGTCCCTTCGTCAAACCTTAACCATCTCAAGGTTTTTCATTTTTAAAATGTAAACACTGGTCATGCTCTCCTATAAAAGGCTTCCTCTCTTTCTCTTCCCCTCATCTCTCGTCCCTCTTTCTCTCTTTAGACTTCAGTAACTTCTGTGAATGTGAGCATCTACAAAAAGACAAAAACACAAGTTAATCTAAACCTACGTGTGCTCGATGTGAAAATCTCTCTCAAAGTTTGTGCATAACTGAAAACAGCAATATGTGAACAGTGTACCTATCTGTGTATGGAAACGGTTCCTGTGTCTCTTTCCACTCTGTAAGCACACTAGTACAGAGAGATGAACACGCTCACACTCTCATGGTGAGGCTGCCGGGGGCGAGACGCTGCCGAGACACATGTTCAGATGCTTTCAGGCTGGAAACATAACCAGACAGCCAAATGAAATCAAGCTCCGCAGTGACTGGTGGATTCAAAGCTTAAAGAGCCACTGTGATTTGGTGGCCACAGCGGCAAATAATTAAGACTTTACCCAAAAACAGTCTGAAATCCAATTATGAAACTATTTGTAATAATAAAAATGTGTAAACCATTATTTCACCTGCAAATTATAATTCATAAGCGTTCACTTGTCGAGCTGCATCTGGTTTAAATATTCCCCTTTTTCCCGCGATACTTTGGACACAAACGTTCACATTTCTGTAAAAATTTGATGAAAAACAGGAAAATGACTTGTGAATTTTGGTTAACAAAAACTTTATTATGAAGCCACTGAGCAAAAAACTTTCTCAACCTGATGATGTTAGTGTGGAGTCAGAGGAAGCAAATATCAGGCTGAACTTCTCTCAGTTCGTCTTTGTGCTCTGCAGCCTCGGCTAAAGGAATCACCTCTGTTGCTCCTGCACGCTGCTGTGGATAACTGTTCAGTTTGTGCCCGTGGAGTCAGCTTCAAATTATACTAATGACAGCTACCGTGCTTACAGTCATTGGGTGCTCTGTTCAGCTCAGCCGGCTTTAGAATTTACTCAGACCGTGAGTGGAGCAAAGCTTCCCATTTCCAGCTCAAAGCTTAGCTGAGTGTTGATGCTACTGTGCAGGAAATGACAGGCGGCCGAGTGGTGCAAAAATAAATATCAGCCAACTCTCAAGCTTTGGTTCGAGTTATGTGACAGAAACAATCGCTCTGGCGGGGCTTATGTCAAAGTGCTTTTTGGCCCAACGATCCATAGTTTACCTGGTTTCGCCACCACGTGAGGTTGCAGAGTGTCTGCAGTCACAGCTGAATGAAAAGAACAGACACTGGAAAGATGTGGTGAAAAGGCACAGACAGTTAGCAAATCTGGAATTCATGTCATGTTAACACAATATGCAGACGACTCTCAGCTTTACATTCCATTCATTCTACCCAAAGAAAAGAGCCTGATAAACTGAAGTTAATCCACACATTTTATAATTTCACACCCAGGAATTGTTTTGCTACTAATACGCTGCTGTAGCACCCTGTTCAGTGCTAAAGCTCCACAGAGTCCAGGTCTGCTGACTTTGACTTAGGTGAACATTGACATTTGTGGGCCATGGTGATGGTGAAAGTGTGTCTTTGTACAGTAAACATGCAGTACAGTTGGTATGTCCCAGTGAACATGGTGTTCTGACTATACTGTCAGTGTGAAGCTCTCTCTGGTTTGGCCACCGACAATCACTGGAGAGCCCCCGGTTAGTCATGTTACAGTAACATAGTATATAAGCTTTCCTCATGACACATTTTCAGTTTGATTTGCTACATTTAAAGGACCGTGCTGGTTCGGCCTGTCTCAGCTGCAAACTACAGAATATGCACTCCACATTTCTGCTGACTCAGCTTCTTTATGTTTTCAGATTGATTTCCTTGTTTCCAGGCAGCCTTCAGTTCCTGTTCACTTACAAGAAAATCAATGTGACCCCTTCTGCAGAAACCTGGCATCCATGTCAAAATGTAGTTTCACTGAAGAATGGCGAGACATCTGAGAACTGACAGCTGGCTGCTGCGTTGTCAGAAAATCAAACCGTGAAGACAAACAACAAGCAGGTATAGATTTTAAGATAGACGTCTCATATATCAAAACTGCTGCCAGAAGTGATGACACGCTCAGAGCTACTTCTGCTAAACTACCTGACATGGAATGAAAGCACCGTGGCAAGATGCATCAGTGTCTTGCTTCACTGTGCCAAAAATCCCATGAGCACCGCAGTCAAGACCTTTTTTATAATACGCAGCAGTGCAAGGATTTACGGTGTATTAGGACTAGCATCGTGTGTTTGGATTCAATCCTTCTGTACAGATGCAGGACCAAGAGTTACCCAGTAGAAGTTACCATTTCAACAGCACAGAATCTTTCACACAGTGGAGAGTTTTGATAGTTTAGTGATTAAGAAAGCTTTGTTCGCTAGCAGCCAGCTATTCGATGTCAAGTGTCACAAAGTAAAGATTTGAAAATGGCTTTGACTGTGATGAATTGTCTCTCTGCAGCGAGTTTTAGGTTTCTTCATTTTCAGAGAAATGAACTGAAACCTGGGAAAGAAGAAAATCAATCAGACTGATTTTGAAAAACAAAAATGTAAAGTATTTGTGATTTGTAGCTAATCGGCTGAAACGCTCAGCCTCACTGGTTTGAGTCCTCTATAACTGATCGGTGTACGTAATGTTGAACTCATTGTCATAGACATTAACTCAGCAGTGGTTGTTTTAACATTGATACGTCTTAAGAATATACAGTATATAGCCTATATTTTGATAACCTCACTAAGTGTACTTTTTGTTCTCTGGTTTTGTAGTGTGAGTGTGTTACTTTGTGCTCGGTTACAGTCCATGTGTGAGAGTCACTCCTGTTTTAAAAGTGTGTGAAGCCGCCGGACTTTAAAGGGGAAACGGGAGAATGAGCATCAAAAGTCTTCATCCTAACAGCTACTCACTGCATGCTCTCTCTCTCTGTAGCCTTCTGTCCCTCAGTATTTTTTGATTTGACTTTATGTGTATCTTCTCATCAGCATGGTAATGCTTCTAATAATAATAGTGACAACACTTATGAATATAATAAAGAATTTGATGTTTTTTTTCTACCTCTCGTCTGTTGCTTTTATTCAAAGAAAGTTTGCAGAGGTTATGTTTTTAAATTGAAATTACACAAGGAGTTAGGTGTAATATTCAATTCAAATTTATTTGTGTAGCGCCAAATCACAACAAAAGTCGTCTCAGGACACTTTACAAAGTAATGGTTGACCTTACCATTATTATTATTATTATTATTATTATTTATCATTATAGAGGGAAAACCCAACAAATCCCCCTTGAGCAAGCACTTGGTGACAGTGGGGAGGAAACACTCTGTTTAACGGAAGAAACCTCCGACAGACCCCGACTGTTGGTGGGCGGCCTTCTGCGACTGGAATAGCCTAATATAATGTGCTATCTGTAATTTTCTACACTTCTGCATGTTGTATGCAGCCTCCAATATAATATATGACCAATGGTCACTCCCCGGAAATGTAATTGCAGATACAAATGAACATCAGCATCATATGTATGTTACTGTATGTCATGTGATTATCATTTAGTCTTAGAAACAATGTCTTAATGACATGGTTAAACACACTCAGCTGATGTTTGCTTCTTTTTCACTATAAAAGTGCACAAGTGCCTGATAAATATACAGTATCTTGGGAAAATCATATTCATTTGTAGAAAAACAAAGGCTGCAGCCCAGGTAAGTGAAGCACTGACCAGACCAACCCCTAATCACAAAGACATCATTTATGACCTACCTGTAAGGAAAATATAAACATGGGAAAACAGAACTTCTTAGCAGGGCTTTTAATACACTAGAGAACAGTTAATTATACAGTAAATCTGTTAGAACTGCCAGATAATGTGGAGTAGAAATATTTGTCAGAAATGTTCAGGATTAAAAGCAGCATCAAATGAAAAATTTAACTTAACCTCTTTTCTTCATAGCTTTTTCAGGTCTTGAAAAACCCCACAACATGGTTAACACTCACACCTAGTTGTTAATTTTTAGATTAACATGTTAGAAACTGATTGTGAGCTTCATTATAAATGATGCAGTGTGGCGTTTGTGTTTCTAATCAAGTTTCTAAAACATGTCTAATGCAGTTAAGGAAGCAACAATAGCAACAACTCAATTCAAATAAATAACACCACCACAGGTTACAAAAGGTGCTTGTGTTTAAACATGCTGCACATTTTTATATACTGATCTGAATAAATTACATAGAAATACAAAATAATTTAAAACTAGAAAACCAGAAGTCACTCAGTAGGAATAAAACTGCAGCTAAGGCCAACAACTCTCCCTAAACATGTCATAGCTACTGTAAGAGTCCGCTAGGTTTGGAGCCTCGGGTGTCTGATTTCTCCAGCAGCACCTGAATGCATCCGCACAGTTAAAAATGTCCAGCAGATGTTGGTTTAACAGCACATTCCAGTGGGGGCCCACGCTGCTGAAGTGTCCTTGAGCAAAATGCGGTCATGAGAGGGGAGCACGGGTTCCTTTTGACATCCAAGTAGCAGGTGGACAGTGTCTGAGGTTTACAGGAGGGAGGTGGAGAAGGCCTTCTCTGCACCGGCGCTGGGGGGAGGGGAGGGAGATCTGACCCTTGACCCATTGCGCTGCCGCTTCCTCCTGGCTCTGCGGTTCTTGAACCACACCTGCAAAAGAGAGAGGAATGTTTTAGTTGCATGTTTTTGTAGCAGGAAAGTTTCATTGTGAACTGAATAAACCGAATGAACTTCCATGTGAACTAGAGCAATGACATTTTATCTTGGTGAGTGCTGACAGTCTCCCTACGGTGTTATTATTATTATTATTATTAAGTTGCTCTGAACAAAGACATCCAGTGAATAAATGCAATGCAACAATAAATTAATCTGTATTCAAGTAACATGGTGCTGAAAAAAGTCAAATTAAAAAGTAAAAATAGGAGGAACAGAGTGACTGGACTCTATGAAACCAGCTCCACGGGCACAGACTTGTTTATGCGTCGTGCGTAAAATTTCGACAAGGCGAGGTTTTGCGCATTTCTGAGTTGCGTGTTTAGGAACAGTGATGTGATTTTAAATAACGGTTTTCGCAAGTTTCAATGTTTCCCTTTAATGAGATAAACTTGATTTGACACACCTTTTGTGGCTCAGGAGGTAGAGCGGGTTGTCTCCTAAACGGAAGATTAGCGGTTTGATTCCCGGATTGTCCTTGAGCACGACACCAAACCCCCAGTTGCTCCCGGTGATGACACCGGTGCGTGAATATGTGAGTGCTTGAGGAAGCATGGCTGTGGTGAAGGGCAAAATAGCGTGAAAGCGCTTTGAGTGAGCTGCAGTGAATAGAAAAGCGCTCGATAAGCATAAGACCATTTCCCAAAATAAAGATCTTCAGTGCGTCAATGCTCCGTACCTCAAATGCTGCTTGGAAACGTTTTTCCTAATTCTATGCGTTGAGGATGTTCTCCTTCGTCAAAATAACCTCACAATGGCTCGTTATTTCAGACTCACCCTGACGGTCTCCTCGCTCAGCCCGGTGCGCCTCGCCACCTCAGCGCGCACCTCCACAGCCGGGTAGTCGGTAAGCTCAAACAGCGCCTCGAGCTGCTTGGTCTGACTGTCGGTGAACACAGTCCTCATCCGGGCCTTCTGACGATGCTGCGACTGCGCGGACACCCCGGCCTGGTGGTAACCAAGGTAACCTGGTAACGCCTGAACATCTGGTTAAAAAGAATTAAAATGAGTGAGTCAAGTGAAAACAAATGAAATCGAAAAAGTTCCTGGAAGTTAACACTTCAGCTGATAAAATGGTCCTGTTTTTAAAAGTTAAAAATTTTGGCCAATAAACATTTCAAGTGTTTCTTCTGAGCATGTCCAAATACCTGCAGAGTCCCGGCTGCTGAAGTGCGCATGCACTCCAGGGGTTGGATAAATGTTGGTCAAGTCTGTGCGATGGAAACCGGCTCCATACGGGTAGCACGACTCTACACAGCTCATCCCTCGGTACTGCAGGCAGCCTGGCACCGGCACTGGGACCGGGACCGGGGCAGGAGGTGTGACGTTCCCGGAGACCAGACTGAATCCGCCGGGGGCTTCCGGAAGATAACCGTCCGGTGAAATCTCCATCACCAGCGGCTTGCGTCCGAGCTGCGGCGAGAGTATGCGCTCGATGCTGAAGTCCGACACTTTGCTTCCGTCCATGATGTTACTCTAAGATTCAACAAGTTTCCAGAAAGCTTCCAAGTGGCCAAGAGTCCTCCAGGATCCAGTTTTAAACAGAAACGCGAGCCTGAAGCCGCCATCAAACACCTGAATGCTTTTTAATATGTTAATAGTCCCGTGAATTGAGCCCATCGGTGACTCAAGAGATGAGAAGAAATGTGGACTTTGATTTGACCTCTGAACTCTTTGGGTCTTTGAAGAGAAGGATGATGTGATGATGTGGAATCAGTTATTTAGTCCATTTCATCTCCATTCAACTGAAAACTTTCACTTTTCTTCAAACAAGACAAATGTCCCACTGAGCTGTGGCTCCAGATACACAAACACAGTTTTTAATCACATGGAGTTAGATTTTCTTTGAACTGTTTTTATTGTTTCACTTTATTAAAATGTTAAATCTATGTTGGCCTGTTTGTTATTTTAATGACTATCCTGTTCATTAATTATTTTTATTTTATAGGTAATATGTGATTATGTTATTAAAAGCTGTTTTAACAGAGTTAAAATTTATTGAAGAGTATGTGCAATTTCATGGTGTTTCCTCCTTTAATTTGTTTTAGGATGGTGTCATTTTGCAGAGACAAGTGTAAATAATGTCAGAAGCAGACAGAATTATATACTTTAAATAAAATAAATGAAATACTTTCAACTTTATTGTAACAGTGTTAAAGTTTGCATCCATTGACACATCACTGAGCCACAAGAACAGACTGTTTCTCTCCTGTTTATAGAAGAGCCTTTATTTGACCGGTGCTGTAAAACACAAACTGTACATATTACATCTCATTTCACCTCCTAATGTCACACATGAAATGTTCAGGATCATGTGTGCATGTGGCCTGAAGGTGTCGCCACACTCCAGAAAACAGAAACGTGTGCAAACAGCACAAGGTCAAATCTGTCAACTTGTGAATCATTAGTCATTTAAATTAGAAAAACAAGAAAACAGACTCATATATAGGCAGGCAATTCCATAAAAAGACAAAAACTAATATATTAGAAATGATCAAAGCCATATGTGCTTGTATACAGGAATATTGTCCAGAAAGGCATTTACAAAGTGTGAACCACTATTGATACTGTGTCCCAGTGAAACCAGTGTGTCTGAGATTAACGCAGCTTTGATGTGCAGTGAGACAAAGTGTGTGAAAAGATCACAGCTGTGAACAACAGGAGCCACACAGCTTCTCACATTATAGTGATATATCAAAGTGTCTTCTGTCCCCAGGAGAGAACAGTATCCCCTCACCTTTTATATGACTGCCATAGTAGCACAGGTGATAGTAGTAATACTGCCTGCAGCAGTATTAAGAATTTATTAAGAATACTGTGAATTTAGTACAGATACACAGTAAAGGAGCATCAAAAATACTTCTACACTGTAACTTGAACTTCACCATAATATGTTACAATTAGTATTTTAGGAGGCCTGAATGTGTTTATGTAGTAAATCAGAACGGTACCGGGAAGTTGTTTTGTTATTTTGGACAAATAAAACCTTGAATCCCATTTGTCTGCTTGACATTTAGAAACAATAACACATCTACATTTACACAAATATCTTAAAGATAGTCAAATTAAAAGAATTCAGTATAAATAAATCCTGTTTGGGGTCAGTTTCTTTGGTTTCCTGTGAGTGTAACATCATGTCTGACTTCTGAGAGCAGATCAATAGGTGATCAGTAGCAGATCAATCAGTCACCTCTCTGTAAACTCCCTCTCTGTGATTTGATTGATTGTTAACACATGCAGAGAAACTGCAGATTGTCGAACATCTTCAGACTGAAGATTAAAGCAACAGCAGCTCCAATACTGTTTAGATATGAATACATTTCAATACACATTCTTATTCTAAAAGGTTTAAGTTGGGCTCAGCTGCACAGTATACAAACAGCAACTCAAACAGGCCAGATGTGGAGAGGTGAAGGAGTTAAATGTCAGAAGACAAGGAACCGAGAAAATCAGTTTGCACTATGAATTAGCTTGAAGTTTGTATATGTCCGAACACTGTATACAGTCACATACAGTAGCATGTTGGTTATTGAAAGGATGTGTTGAATTGAATTGTTTATAATTTGTACCTAAATCTAGGAAAGTGTATTTTAGGTGTTCATAGCAGTCAGGGTCATAAACTGAGCCCTAATAAGAATTTGTTTGCCCAAAGTGTTGCCCAGGCTGTGAACTGCCCCCAGCAAACATCACCACTGAAGCAGACAGACCAGACTGCTCAGGTGTTCAGGCAAAAGGTGGCTGCTTGTATTATTATTATGTGCCACATGTCAACCGCACCCACTCTGTCAAACTGGTTGGACATTTGAGAGTCTTGTGATTTCATGTGTTGACGTTCAGCCTGATTGAATTCACAGTGTGACAGGAAGTGAATGTGTCTCACCTTGTTTTTCAATGAAATGAATGAAAGCTACACTGAAAACATCCAACATTAATAAGGTCAGGAGGAAGTTATGTCTAATAGGAAACAGGTGAAGTGCTCCATCACTGTCCGGTCCAATCCTCTCTCCTCCAGCTGTGGATGATTTCACATCAGGTGTGTGTTAGACTGAGACACTTCAAACATTCCTGCCAGACTCTCAGTTTGCCTCTCACTGCCTCTTGCTGTCTCGCTCTCATCTCTCTCAGCATGAATCAGCAAAACATCACCAAGCCCCCGACTGCTCACTGAGCCAGACTCCAAACATCCAGCCCCCCCCCCCCCCCCCCCCCTCCACGTTCTCTCCTCCCTCTCCG